AGTGAGAGAGTGTGTGTGTGTGTGTGTTTGAGCGCCTGTGTGCACGTGTGACCGACAGATTTAGGGGCAACGGAGTCAGTATTAGTAAACAATCGCCTCTGGTGTGCCTTTTCTGCGACACCGTGAAAAAAAACAACACCAATTTGTTATTGCTGCTGTCGGCGTTGTTACTGTTGCTGTTTTTCTCATTGTTGTTGTTGATATTTCTTGTTGTTCTTTCTGTCGTTGATGTCGTTGCTGCAGCAGAGCTGCTGTTTGCACGTCAAGGCATGGAGTAAAGCACCCTTTTCAACTCAGTGAGCTTATCATCGAAGAGACGGGACCTCCGAATTTAAAGTTTATGTCGGATGGGATCGAGTCAAGTCGATGGAGAGCCTTAAATTAGGACATAGGACACTTCCACAGAGCGGAAGTTTAAATGCCATCGTTGGTATCGCGTGATTGTTCATGTTTGTTTGGTTGATGATGCCAGGGGGCTCTCATGGTCTAGATGTTACGGGGTTCCTCTCATTCAAAGGTCCCGGGTTCGAATCCGGGAAGTCACGGGAAAAAAAATTCTTCTCTAAAATTGTCTCCTTTCACCTCCTTTCCTGTCCTCTAGCAATCTTCTGTCTTTAAATGGCTGTTTATATATCATATTATATCTAGTTTGTAGTCTTAAAAACATTAATGGTGTTTTACGCCCCCATCGACAAAATTTAGATAATTCAGGAGTGGCCTTTGACCCTGCTGTCCACGACCAAACCGGGCTGGGAGGGATATAACATCCAAGCAATAAGACAGAGATACTCGGTAAGAATTTCAAGTATTCTCTCAGAAATCGAGCCCGGATCTCTTTCGTGCGACAGCGAAGCACCTATAACCGCCGTAGAACAGATGCCGATGATTTGTGTTTGGAATAAGGATGCTCACACTACTCATACAATGACGTATCTCAATAGAAGAGCTACCGACCTATATCACAAACTTCAAGTATAGGTAAGCTTGCTGAAAAATGGTGAACAATAACCGCCTTTACTATTACCTGGAGAACTCCAACAGCTTGAACCCACACCAAGCAGGTTTTTAAAAAAGCAGCAATACAGAAGACCAACTTTTCAAACTAAGTCAAGACATCCAGGATGGTTTTCAGGAGACTTAACACACCATTAAATGTTTTGTAGATAAATAATAATAATGCATTGCATTTATATAGCGCATATCCACTTATGCAATGCTCTATGCGCTTAACGTGATACATATTAAGGATTTACAAATCAATTTTAAAGGCACGTAGTGTTACATACGCGTGCCCACACATACTCACGCACGCACGCACGCACCACACACACATACATACACTACACACATACACACATACGTACATACGCACATATGCACATAAACTCACAACGATCGACAGCTTGGATGGATTCTGTCTAATCGAAATATGATGAAAATAGAAATGCTTTTAGTTTCTTCTTAAAAATTTCTAGATTTTCTGCTTCTCTGATAGTTTTTGGAAGTTTGGAAGCCTATTCCAAAAAAGTGGGGCAAAATATGAAAAAGAGTGTTGGCCATATGTTTTGTTATTTATTTTAGGTTTAACAAGGGTTGTTTTGTCACTTGATGATCTGAGCGTTCTAGTGGGTACATAGGGTGTTAAAAACTGTTTTAGATAGTCAGGTGATAAATAGTGTAAGCACTTGTAGCAAGTTAAACATATTTTATATATGATACGCTCTTTCTCCGGGAGCCAGTGTAGTTCTTTTAAAATAGAAGTCACATGATCATGCGTTAGTTTCTTAATAATTATCTTGGCAGCAATATTTTGTACTCTTTGTAGTAGTTGTAACTGTTCATCGGGTACACCAGCCAGTAAGGAATTGCAATAAGCAATCCTTGACAATATAAGTGATGTTATTAAAGTTTTGGTGACACCAACAGATAGCTATTTTCTAATGCTCCCTATTTTCTTCAATTGGAGCTATAGATTTATACAAAGATTGGATATATAGGATTTCATTGACATATCTTGATCTAGCACTACGCCTAAATTTTTTTACTTTAGTTTGGGCTGATATTTCGTGGCCATTGATGTTTATTCTGATATTGTCGATTTCATTGCATGCGCTGCTACGAAGAAATAATATTTCGGTCTTATCCTCATTTAATTTTAATTTGTTCTTAAGCATCCATTTTCTTATATCATTGTTAAATCTGGCGATTCTATCTATGAGATTGTGTACATTGTCAGTTGTAGTGAATCCATACAGCTGTGTATCGTCTGCATAAAGATGGTAATTGAGGGCATATAAAGAAATTATTGATGACAGACTTTGCGTGTACATTGTAAAGATGACAGGACCAAGGACCGAACCCTGAGGGACTCCATACTTTAGAGGTGACCTATCTGACACATCATTGCCAATTTTCACTGACATAAATCTATTTTCTACATATGATTTAAACCACATTAGAACAGTACCTGATAGTAAAAATGACTTTTCCAATCTCTCTAGTAAAATTTCGTTGTCGATGGTATCGAACGCCGCTGACAAATCAAGTAGAACCAAAACACTGACTTTTTTACATTTAAAACATCTGATGATAACTTTAAAAGAGCAGTTTCCGTACTGTGATGCCTTTTATAAGCAGATTGAAAAGGTTCTTCCATGTCATTGGCCTTTAAATGTTGTTGATCTCCAACAGGCGTATGACAGAGTGTGGAGAAAAGGCCTACTCATGAAGATGGTCGACCTTGGGATGCACGGAAAATTGTATAAATGGATCGAAACATCGAAACCAAGGTGAACAATGTCCACTCGTCAAGAGAAGTACTCAAGGAAGGCCTACCCCAAGGTTCCTGTTTGAGTTGCACTTTGTTCCTGATCTTCAATGACGTAGCGAAGGAGCTAAAATCTGAAAAGACTATCTACGATGATGATCCTGCTCTCTGGCAGACACATCACAGCACGATAGTAGGAGCAGGAAAATCAAATGAAGACCTCAAGAGGCTCCACAATTACTGTCAGAAATGGAAGCTCAAAATAAACTGCTCGAAAACAGTATACACCATCTTTACAAAGAGCCATAAAACAGCCAAAGAAAAACTCCAACTGAAGATAGGAAATGAAAATCTCCCCAAAGAAGAACAACCAACATACCTAGGAGTCAAGCTTGACCAAAGTCAGACCATGAAAAGCCAAGTGGAGAACATAAAGAACAAGACGAAAAGAAAAATCCAACTTAAAAAACAACAACTCGCAAGCAGTTCATGGAGGTCAGACAAACAAACTCTGAGAGCTCTATACCTTGGTTATGTCCGATCTTCCTTGGAATACTATGTGTGGTACAACTACTTGCAATACCCTTGACCAGGTCCAAAATAATGCACTTCGTTTCATAAGAGGTGGCAGGAGATCTACACCTACTGCCGCATGAGAAATTCTTTCAAATATTGAACCTCTGGGAATTCGCAGAGATAAAGCAATTTTGGAGCTCCATGAAAGAACCAAAAGAATGTGCCCCAACCACCCAAACAGGAAATTAGTAGAAACAAGGAAACTTAAGAAACGACTTCAACAAAAATCAATCATGCATCACATCACAGAACTAATGGAAAGTCACCATCTACTATAAAATAAACGAGAAACTAAAAAAGCCAACCAGAACATCCCTTCCCATATTTCTATGGAAAAACCAATCATTACAACATCTCTCAGAGACAATAGCACAAAATCTTCAGACCCAGTGATGTTGATGCTTGTATCACATCAAACAATCGACAGCTATACAGATGATGGAATACACGTCTATAAGACAGCTCAGCATTCAAAGGCACAACCAAAGCTGGATATGGAATACTAATACAGTACCCAGGTGGAAGTTCCAATGAGATCTCTGCAGCCTGTTGAGAGTAATGCAACGACTACGATGCAGAAATGATAGTAATTGAAAAAGCACTATACCATATCCGCACCGTTTTTGACACTCATTCAAACAAAACAAAAAGAGTATAGTTATTTTCACTGACTCACTATCAGTCTTGCAAGCGATAGAAAATGATCACCATCTTAACGAAGATTTGACACATAGTGTTTGGCTCCTATTCCCCTGACAACATCCTGTGGCGTCAACCTGGTGATGCAGTACATTCCCGGACACTCAAACATACCTGGAAATGACAGAGCAGACACACTCACCCAAAGAGGATCTAGACAGGAACAAACCAACATTCCAACTTCATACAACACTGCAAAACAAATCATTAAAAGCAACAGCAAACAAGATTGGATGAACAGATGGGCCTTGGGAAAGATAGGCAGAGCAGTTTTCAAACATACGACAACTAAACGAAATGACAATATCAGCCATCTACAGAGAAAGAAACAGACCATGATCTTCCACAACGAACAGGACATAAATCGGCTCAACATTCACTTCAACAGAACAAAACCAGAATTTCCCCCAATGTGTTCTTTGTGTGACTATGCATATGAGACTGTGGATCACCACCTTTTCCACTGTACAGCCCTAATTGACATCAGCGCAACACTTCTCCCTCAGACTCAGAGACGTAACATTGACAACACACTCTACGGAACATTACAGCAACTGCAGCAAACCTGCACCTATCACTATGTGGCATTGGACAGAAGGGCGAGAGCCCAGCTGTCGCTGGATCGATAACAACAACAACAAAAACAACAAATAGAAGTTGCACCATTACAACCATTAAGGCAGTGAGAACCAAAATTGAAAACAACATCGGGGCGTGTGATTAGAAGACCTCCTAACTTGACTAGACTTCTGTGAAAAGACGAAAACTAAAGTGGCATGGGCATGTCACACGATCATCTGGGTTGGTCAAGACCATCCTACATACAGGTTTTAGTTTTTAGTTTTAGTAGAGGTTTTACAGGGACCAGACAAGGAAGGGGCGAAGAGGCAAATAGAGGCAATGGTAGATAGTCTAGATATCACAGTCAACTGGCCGTGAGTTAAATTTCATGATGACTATAGAAGTCAAGGGATATGTGAAGATGAAAGTGATACTCTACTCTACATAGTTACGCAAATTTGAAGAAAAAAGTGTAATCAAAATTGCCGGAAGAAATTTCCATAAAAACAAAAGATTTTAATATTGAGCTTTATTTCTTGACACATTTACTACATATAATTTTATAGTTTTCACCTTTTCCAAAAATGGACAAAAGTAAAAACAATATACACGAATTAGGTTTAGATTGATCTATAAAAAAACAATGATCTGGTACATCAATCGTGAGACAGTTTTGGCGTATGGAAGGGCAAAAATAACACAAAGAAATGTAACAGACAACAGCAGCAGTTTCTTCAGAATACCTGAAGATGTATTTAAAAAATGTTTTAAAAAAGAAAATCAGAAAAAGAATAGAGAAAATTCAAGTGTTATTTTTGCCTCTGCACCAAATAATACTGGTATATGAATTTGATTCTCAAAAATGTATCATGTGTATATAGGATAAAAAGAGTATTCATTCCAAACAAAATGAAATTTCCTGGAACTACAGCAGTATTTCACATGTATCACATTATGCTTGTCAAATTATTAAGACACTGGACCTAGCACGGTGAGCAGAATACTAAAGATCAGCTGGCTGAATAACAACATCATCAACAACAACAACAACAAAAGCTGAGCACAAGAAAGAAAACATTTAATAAAAACAACGCTGAAAAAGATTGCAAAGTACATGACTTACGATGGTCATAGTGCGGTAAAATGGTAATAATTTTAAGAGGTTGTGCAGCGATTCTTCTAATTTGCCAAAAAAAATACTACATGAAAAATGCTTTCATGTAAAGGAGCAGCAGTATGCAAACTGATAAACAGTTTGAAAGCAAAACAGCAGGGGTATTTCCAGCTTAAAAATTTCGCTAGTAGAAAGTGACAATTTTCTTGTTATGAAAATATAATTTGTTGAGGTCAATATTTATGTTCTATAATACATTTTAAAACAACACGTCTAAAAAAATGGAATCAGTTAGAGTACATGATTTGCTTTGAGAAGGTTACTTTTTTTCATTGATACCTATTCCCACCAATAGGAGACAGGTTGGGAAAGTGTCCAACAACAAGGACACACATCTTACGAGTAAGGAAGTGAGATGTCAGAGAAATATGCGACAGCATGTTCTGCGAGTCTGCTGGTGGGTCTTCTGTGATGTCAGCAATCTAGTCGACACACACACACACTACTGGACACCAAAAGCTTTTCAGCAAAATGGAGTAACTGCTTAAAAGAATTCATTTCTTCAGCACCACTGGACTGAAACCCTATGGCCATTGTCAGGGAAAACAATATTAGAAGAAGTGGAAGAAAGAAATGAAAATGTCCACTCGGAACTGGGAATACATGGACAAACACTTGACAAAACTATTACCATTTCATTTTCAGAACATCCAAGATAGGCCTACAGTAATTTTGAGAAGCAAAGATATAGTTTTCCTCAATGTTCTGACAATATTAGTGGAAAGAGATTTGGAAACTGGTAAGATGGATTTTAAAAAGAAATTAACAGGATTTTTTTTCTACGTCCCCACCACATTAAATTAATTGTTCCCATGGGTCCTTCTGATGAATCAGGTTTTTTTCCCTTATTTCTTACGCTTTGCTTTAAAAACATTCCCTTCTGCAGATAATTGGTCATTGTCAGACATGACAAAAGAAACTCTTATTTTACTATTATCATTATCATCATTATAATATATTATCATCCTTATATAATGTAGAACTCGGACACATGTGATCCTCCTCCGGTGCATGGTTTGTTGTTGTGGCCACTTTATGGCATCAGTACACAGTCAAAAAGGTGAGATATCAATCATTTAACCCTTCAGATATGACGCATTTTGTATCCCCAGGTACATCAAGAAGTGGAAAATTGTGCAAATCCATGATGTACCAGGTACGTCAATATGGCATTGAAGGGGTTAATAGTTTGCTGAGTTAAGTGTTCTTTGCATCGGAGATGAAACAAAAGCAAGTCCAAGACATGTTTGAAGACATTAATATTTGTATCACAAACAAGTATTAGCCTATGTCTTGAGGACTTTTGTTACCCAATACTCAAAGTACACAATGAGTCATTTAGGTCAGCTTAGAGTCTGTGATTGACTCAAACTCAAAAGTTAAAAAATTGTAATTCCTGCTCTGTTCTCCAAGGTGAATATAACTCGTCTTCTGAAAGGCTAACGATGCTTTGCTCTCTTACCACTAAAGAAACCTACTTAAAGTCACAAGGAATGTAAAATTGAAACAAAATATCAAGAATCTCTGTACACTTGCGCACTGTAGGCCTACATAAATTCTTAACAAAGTTGACGGAGCCAAAGAATTATAAAAGTGTTAATCACAGTTACAATAAAATTTTGTCATGACTTGAATACTTACAATGCACATAAAGATATAAAATAATCACACTATGTGAAAAAAAAAAAAAATTATATAGAATATTGAATTTACATAGTTTGCTGTTTTCAGGAATAGCGTTTACCGTTTATCATAAGAATACTATTAATGGACCACCTTACTTGTGCAAAGGTAGAGCTTTTGATGCACAGCTCATGTGAATACAAAATATATTTTCACGTTTTAAACAAATTTCTAAATATTTTACACACTAGCTCAAATTTGTAAAAATTCTCTTTGTACAAACAAATATTGACCCTTTCCTACCTTTTACTTGAACAAAGTATGTACATTGAACAATTTTTAATTTCCTAAATATACCTACAAACAGTCTTCAAAAAGTATAAACTCTGTGAGAAATTGGACACAATGCACTTTTATTCTACAGTTAAGTGTAAATAAGCACTTACTTTTCAATAACTCCCTCGGCTGATCTGTTTACTCCAAATCAGACGACAGTCCCACTATGGTCTTACACAGTTGCAGTCTCTTAGGCCAGCACCACATACTATTTTAAATATTTTCTCCATCCATGACCCATTTGTAGTTGGGTAGACTAAGGAAAAGAAGGTAGAATAATTTTCCTAACCATATTTGCAAGAATAAAGTCCTATCCAACAAAGCCAGGAATCAAACTCCCATCTTTATTTGTGAATTGTAATTGTAGACGTAGATGTGTTTCACCTCCATCGACACAATTTATATCACAGCTCAACTGGGATTCCGCTAGGATCATACATAGTAGAAATGTCGGCTCAAAATCGAAACATGGACTAAAATTGAGTCAGCTGTGAGGTATACATTCTATAAAAACGTTGGAAGAAGGGAATCAGGTAGAGAAGTGGCATAACATTTTTATAAGATAATTGCAAACAAAGAAGTGAACTAAGTGAAAAGAGGGGTAACCCTTTCAGACTGTTTGTTTTTCCTAGATGAGAATAACATTTTATTTGAACCTAAAAGTCAGTTTTTGGTGTGCATTTTTCCCCCTAGTGTAAATACAAATGACCCTAGAAGTAAAAATAACAACGATCAGTGTCTTTCGAGCTCATTAAAGAGCTAAAAAGGTATTTTAGAATACTTCAGAATGAATATAATCTTAATAAATAACTACAATAATTAAGTCACACACTATTTCCAATTGTCTGTGCATTTACATTCAGAACAGACTTAAAATTGAGCTTTTTTTAAACCACATTAATCCTTCCTATGACAATAATGGACTCATCCGGAAGTAGGCAAAAAATTTAGCATGAGTTGAAAGCTGTAGAATTTGATATTTGAGCAGGTTTCAGTTTGGAAGAGGTTGCTGCTAATCACATGAGAACATCATCTACGCTTGACTAATGGGTCTTATTTTTTAAATTGAAAGAACAGTGTGGAGGAAAAGAAGCTTATTGAAAGCCTACATCGTGAATAAAATCTTTTTTATTTGAAGTGAATTGTTTGAATTATCCTAGTCTGGTGTGAAATAATACTATGTAAATTGTTTAAAAATCTTTCAAATCACAAAACTTAGCATCGTTTTTAAATCTTTTTTTACATACAACAAAATATCATCGCTCTTGTAATAAGACCAGCTAACCCACAAAATAGCTGTTATTAAAAATTTTGACAAATCGATAGTGAATTATATTTATATTTCATATGCTCAGTCATAAACAGGTCTGATTTTTGGCTGGAAAAGCTCCGAAAGCTGAACAGCTCGTTGGTAGTCAAATAGCTGTGTGATGATACCAAATAAGATTTTTGCTTCTCTTGTAAAAGTTGCTTTGCTGCACTTAGCCAGTCTTATAGCAAAGGTGACAATATAATCCATTAAGTATTAATGTCCAACAAGTCACAATTTTTTTATATGTGACATGTTACACACTTGATAAATATAGTTCAGAGATAGGTTAGCAATAAAGGGACAGTTCTCATGTTGTGATAGGATGAATGTCTGCTTATGTGTTAGTATAAATTTAAAGAGTGCATGTAAGCATGTTCTTTCACTTGTGTTTTGTGTGTAAAGATGAAAGTATTGTAAAATGCCTAGAGCTGTATTGTACAGGAGTGGGCGCCATAGAAAAAATCAGGATTATAATCATAATATATCATCAATGGAGATGATGTTTCAAAAATTCGTTGTAGTTGACCCAGTCTGTAAAGTTTTTATCGTATTTATCTTGTAATTGCTGGAACTCATTCTCCGACAGGTTGATGTTGAACATGCGCAACACTCTGCGGAACTCCTCGGATGTGACCAAGCCTTTTGTCTCCTGGTCCACGTTCCTGAACTCCCTCCTCATCTCCTTCCAGTTCTGACCCACGCAGTCTTTTGTGCGCCGGGCAGCGTCGTTTTCCTCCCCTTCTTCTTCAATCGTGCCATTTGGATGCTGGGAAAGAGAGAAAACTATGTTTATCTAAGGAATGTTACAACATGAGACAAATGAGACAAATGTCAGAAACCATGCGTGGGTGGTTGGCAGGTGCTCTAATGAGCTTTGCTCCCTCTTTCCTATCAAACATCTATCATCCTTATCCCCCTTCTTTCTTTTCTTTGAATGTACCTGCGGCTCAAAACCCTGAACCCACCACTTCACGATTATGAGTCGATAGTCAAACCACTTGACTACCAACGCTATAACACGTACATCACATTATGAACATAAGAGTACTATGACATAAAACTACTTACATATAACTTTTTCGCCGGCATCCTGTCTCGATTTGTCAATACTCTCTGTTCTCCAGGCTTTACAGACAGCAGGAAATGACGAATGAAGTCACTGTAGTGGAAGCGGCCATTTTCGTTGATATCGTATTTGATTGCCAGATCATTGAAGTCAGGAGGAGGGAGAAGACAACCATACTGGCTCAGTACATCTACGAAAGAAAATTTTCATATAGTTACTATATGATTTCAAACCGAAGTATAATGGGTAAAGAAAATTCAATAAGTCTCAGATAAAATTAAATGAGCCCGGAAAAGCAGTATAAATCACCTTTAACTGTTAATCTCAGGGTTCTGTAGACCTGTATAAACCCTGATAAAGTATAACAAATTTTAGTAACAGAAAAGATTACATCTTAAACCATTTTTATTCAACAAATAGCAGTTATGGGGAAAAAAATCTTACAGGAACTGAAACTGAACATTTTTTTCAAAGAAACTACTAATTCTGTGGCATTCACATTTTAAACATTATATGTTTTTGTTAACTCTAAAATGAAGCACAACAGTATTTCACTTAAATGACAAAAATTAGTACATTGTATGGCCGAGTAGTTAAATATAAAGCAGTTGACATATCAACTCTGGACGGTAATGGTTTTTAAGATATATAAATAAAATACAAAACACGTCCTTATTATAGAAATGTGAAGCACCGTGATGAAATGTGGCGCTCGTCAAAGTAATGAAATCGAAGAAACTGACGTTTTTCTATCCGTCTGACAATTTTTATTGAATTTATATTTTTCGACTCAAAACCTTTAAGGTAATTTTAAAAACGCATTTCTGTGTGGATTTTATTGAAAAATGTTAATTTAAGGCACAAAAATGTAAATTTGCAGCTTCTAAGGGCTATCAAGCTTTTGAAGTCGCCAAACTTTGGTATCCATTTTCTTGCTAATTTTACCTCTAAGACCATGAGGCGAGCCCCACCTCGTTCAATTGCAAATATCTTGACTTCTGTTCATGATAGTTGAGCATTTTTTTTTTCAAAAGGAAGGCAAATGGACAAGCTTTAAAATGATACAAATAACTCCACATGTCCAAGAATTGACGATCGCCTGATTCCACCACGTTGAGACATAAATGTCCCAGCTGAAACTATCTTCAAAAAGGACCTATTGTGTCTAATTTGTCAATCAAGTTTTGACAACAAGTTAAATACAATAAAAACAAAAAACAAAAAAAAACAGCAACAAAAGAGCCATACTTATATCAATGTGTGTTTAACTTGGGTTTTTGTTCTTTGGGGGAGGGGGGGGGGGTTGCTTTAAGTGTGGTTACTTAAATAATGGTCACTTTTGTGTCACAAACCTCCAAACTGAGTTACAGAGATAGTGCCAGAATTATCCACATCCATGTCACGGCATCGCTTCTGAATTTCCTTCCAGTAACGGAACACTGTGTCTTTGACTTGTCGTTCGGCTGACTCAGCATTCACCAGAGGGGTGGCCGCTCGGCCAGATCGAGAACTAGACCGAGACATTCTGGAGAACGGTCGATTGCTTACCTGGGGGGCAAAGTGAAGAACAATAAAACGTATTATTCGTTAGGCCAACATTTTAAAAAACGAGTCACTTAAATTCTGATACACACCACAAGAGAATAACCATATTATGTTAACAACAACAAAAAATACCAAACAACAATAAAAACTTCACTGAATTTGTAAACATGTCAGGGTCACTTATTCAGCACTCAAAGCGTAGTCCTGAAATATTCCCCATTCCCTGTCAAAGAGGCTTAATAGATCCAGTTGAGGAATTACTGACTCATAAGAAAAAGAATGAAGCTGCAAAATAATGTGAACTTTCAGGTTGTACCAAGAACATGTGGAAAATTTATCAGATTATGTTATGGGCTGTAACAGACATTTTCAGATCAAAATTTTCTCGAGAAATTGGACAATATATCTGTTGAAGTCTGCCACCCCTACAGAGTATAATGTGCTTGTGCTAAGCTCAGCATATCCATGAACCTTCTCTTCTTCATCTTCTTCTTCTTTTTCTTCCTCCTCTTTTCCTCCTCCTCCTCCTCTTCCTCCTCCTCCTCCGCATCATCATCATTACTTTTTCTAAAATAAAAGCTGAAAAAGTCATCTCCTCTTTCAGGTCTACAGGAGGGGAGAAGTATTACGCCACTTACTCTGGATGCAGGGCGTTGGGACATGGAGGTCGACGGTCTCCCTTGTTGCCCCGCCAAGTTTTGGGCTGAGGTTTTGTTGGCAGACGATTGCACGGGACCAGAATCCATCATGATTGGCATGTCCTCGGAGAACACCTTCAAAAACTGTTTGTACTCCAAGTTTCCGTAGGTGTTGATTGGCGATACATTCCATAGTCTCTCAAACTGGAGAAGAAATTCAAAATGTGTGATTTTAGACAAGTACAGTTTTCCAGCATGTTTGTTCATTTTTCCTCTTTATATTTATAGTAATATTTCAAAGCATGCACAAGTGATATGCTCCTTTCTGATAAAGAAAAAAGCAAAACAGTTGGCACCTTTTTAAAATTAAAATTTACATCACAATTCATGAAATTCCAAATGTATTGTTGTATAATAATATTAAACATTAAAGAGTAAGATCAACATTATATTATATTCATTTTCATAAAACTAGAAAAGTTGAATGAAGACTCAATAATTACCCACAACAGTTATCGTTATCATTAAATGATTTATTTATAAAGGACCCAGCAACAAAAGTTTAAATACTGCTTAAATTTGACCTCTTTCTCTAAGGCATGCTCTATGCACTTTGCAACTATGTTTCTTTCCCTCACTCCTCAGGGATTTCTTTTACCTGCTCATCATTCATTCTCATGATATGACGAGCCAGGACCTCTCGGAAGTCCTCAGCCGTCACAGAGCCGATCTTGGCATAATCGATGCTCTCAAAGTCCCTCAGGATGTTGTGGTAGTGGGAAACAACTGCCTCGTGCACGCGCTCCGCCACCTCGTCCACCGAGACCAGCGGGTTCGGCCCCGGGGGGAAAGCATTCTGGAGGGACTGGAGGTACTGGTCACTGATGTCAATCTGCAGAAAATGAAAAAGTTGTCAATCACATTACTTGGTCACTGATGTCAATCTGCAGAAAATGAGAAAGTTGTCAATCACATTACTTGGTCACTGATGTCAATCTGCAGAAAATGAGAAAGTTGTCAATCACATTACTTGGTCACTGATGTCAATTTGCAGAAAATGAGAAAGTTGTCAATCACATTACTTGGTCACTGATGTCAGTCTGCAGAAAATGAAAAATAAAAAAGGTGTCAATAACATTACTCGGTTACTGATGTCAATCTGCAGAAAAAAAGAAATTAAAAAGTTGCCTATAACTTTTCTTGGTCACTGATGTTAATCTGGAGAAAATAAACAAAATTATTTAAAAGTTGTCCGTATCATTTCTTGAACACTGCTGTTGTGCAACAAAGAATCTGTCATCACAAACTACTCTTTTCTTTTTAAGAAGTTGGTTTATTTTCCTTTATTCAATTTGTTTTAAATGTAGGTGCTTTTTCCATCTCCATCAACACAAAGCGGCAAAGCACCTAACTGCAGATGCCATCACAAATGTTTTTCTGTTTTAAGATGTAAAATATCCAACAGGAAGCAGAATACTCCATAGCAATGTCATCAGTCTGGCACATGGTATTGCTCAACTGTTTACGGTCATAACATAAACCTAAGAGTTAACATATACCATCCTCTTACCTCTCCAGAAATAAAGCTGGACAAGAAATCATTGTAGTCCACACACTGGTCAGGTCCAATGCTCAGGCCAGATTTGATGTGCTTCCACTGGACGTCGGTCAAGATGAAGCAGAACAGGTCCAGAACACGTCGGAACTCAGGAACCGGCACTTTGCCACTGCCATCCCGATCGAAAGCTGCCAAGGCCTGGGGATGAAAATCAAGACACAAAGAAGGTCAAGGTCCTTCCGATCCTGGGAGAACAGTCAAAGGTTGTCCCTGGTCCCATTGATTGACAGACAACAGATGATATGGGATTTACCAATGAATAGGATCCATAACTGTTACAGTCTACACCAGCACCACCCCCACAATAATGTATGTATAACCCTTTCTACCCACCACCAAAGCAAAAATATATGTAATTCCCTTTTCCTCCCTTCTTCCTGCCCCCCCCCCCTTTCCCCCTCCAAAAAAAAAAAGAAAAAAGAAAAGAAATGCAAGTAACCAGCACACCTCAACAACCAAAAAAAGAATATTTATCATAAGAACAAAGTTTTATCTTTTCTTTCATATTTATTTTCAAATTTAAAGCAATACCTTTGTAACATCATCTATGTTCGCCTCCAATCGTTCTTTCAGCTTCTTCTCTGCCTCCTGAGGGTTAAGTTTCCTGAACTCATCAATACGGATGTCCCGTGGTTGTCGGCCATAGCTTGACTTTCGCCCATCCTCAAATGCCTTCAAAAAGTCTGAGTAGTTAATGCGACTTCTGTCTGTAGGTAAGCCAATTCTGAGGAATCATTTGGAGAAGCTAAATCAGAGCAGATTACAGAGCATAACTTTGCACGTCATCACAATGTCAAGCACATTTTACCAAAGTCTTTGTCTGTGGCAACTTTCAACTCAAGTATGTACAATCCAAGAGTCTCCAAAGGAGAAGATATGAATGACACTGTTTCTGTGTCATGTCAAAGCATTTTCTTGTCTACAAACAGCCAATCGTACAAGGAGTTCATATTATGAGCAATTTTTTATTTTCTATTATGTAAAGGCTTTGCTTTTACCTGTAGAAGTATTTAAACATGCCAGAGGTGATATATTTTACAAAGGATGAGTTTTTTTTTTTTCATTTGTAGTAAGTCAAGAGGAATAAGTTTTCCACGACAGCCAATGAAGTATACACATAAAGCTCTTATCAAACCACTTTTGACCTGGCTTGCAGTTGCTAACCTTTTGAGTCCGGAGTCCTTGAGACTACAGGATCCGTTTATCTGAATGTCGGAGGGACAACTCTTAGATTTACACCACTTCACACTGAGGAGCATATTCTTTGTGCACAAGGGTGAGGGCAGTGCACGCTTAGGTGTGTGCTCATACCTATGAGAGTTTAAATAAGATGGACATACAGGGAGTCCACTTAACATTTTTTGCGCACGGGACGCCAATCGGTGACGGTACGAAGCCATCCCTTTTCTCCTCCAAACGCCACTCAGAGACGTAGTGATATTGCATGCACCGCAAACATATCCTTGTCTGTGGGGATAGGTGTTGCAGGCTCTGCGCGCTGCGTGGGTGGAAAGTGTTAAACCAACCACAATTCATCCAAAAACAGTGGTTAATTGAAAGAAAATGTATTTTCCAGTTTTTTATTCCTTATTTGAGCAATTTCTCTGAACTGAAAACACAGCTAAACCAAAGAAAATCTGGTGGTCCCGCAGATTTTGGTTTAGACTCAAATGTATTACAAAAAAGATGTAATGAACAGACCCTGTTGCATGTCTCCATTTGCACTTCATGCAACAGATCCTGACAACCCAATAGAAATATTTTTAATAGCCCTTCTTTTCCCTTCTGTTTACCTGTCCAAGAGAGCAAAGAACTGTTCGTCGTTGATAAAGAAGTTCTGTTCTATGAGGACTTTCTGGATGTCATCAGGAGTCAGTGAACCAAGTTTGCGCATGTCGTACTTGCGGAATGCCGTGTAGAAATCTTGATAGCTGTCTCGGATCTTGTCCCTAACAGAAATAAAACATTTTTCATGCTCATGTATATAGCTGACAATTGAGTGCATTCAACGAAAAGAAGACAGCAGTTTTGAGAGTTATGGTGGAAAAACACCAGGGAGTATAACTCATACTGCATTTTAAGTTTTAGTAAGACCTTTAACGAACTTGCAACACAAATACGTCATATTATACCTGCTGAATACTGCACTTTGGAGGTATTTAATAGGCCCACTGTTCAAACCGTAGCCTCAAGTAAGCAGAAGAAAGTAGGTCAAGAATTCATCAGAACAGGAAAAATAAGAACATGGTCACTACAAACCCTTCTACTAAAAATAAACAGATGTCCGGAAGTGAAGATCACGACCTAACTTGCATTTGGTATCCCTTTAAGATCTCATTATTCTCCTCCTGTACTTCAAGAAAAATAATTTGTGATAGACAGACACTTTGATGAAAAATAACATGAGGTATGAATTTTACAAGAATTTTACATTATGTTAGAAGATGAAAACAACGGTTGAAGAAAAAGAAAATATAGAACTCTCCATTGGGATGTATAGAACAACCCTTGTTGATTTAATAAGAAAATGGTGTGTTTGAAAAATGCTTCCTCATATCAGTCAATATATGTTATTGCACCTGTTAAATAAGCCAATGTTATGTTTGTAAAAATATTGAATGAAAATGTAAACAATAAATTTTAAGGATATTCAGCACTTATCTACTCTCAGAGTTTAATTGTAGAGTGTATAACTTAAGCTTAAATGTCTGCAGTAGGTATGTTGACAAGGACTTAAAGGCATATATAGATGTTTGATAGGAAAGAAGTAGCAAACCACACTATGGCACCTGAAAGCAAACCACCAACAAGGAGGAGCAAACCACACTAGAGCATCCGCAAACCACTCAAAAGGAGGAGAGAATAGAAAAATAGATGTTTGATAGAAAAGGAGGAGCAAACCACACAGAAGCACCCCCAACCATCCACAAGGAGGAGAGAATAGAAGAATAGATGTTTGATAGAAAAGGAGAAGCAAAACACACTAGAGCCCTCGGGCTGCCAACCGTTCGCTGAACCCACCGTAACTGTCGCTCCACCATGATGGCTGGCATGTTGTTGGTGAGGTTGGCCTGGTTCCAGGTGATATCTTCGTGCCGCTGCTGCTGCAGGGAGTTGTGCTCGTCCAGGAAGCGGTAGTTGCCGCTGATGATGTTGCTGCTGGGACCCTGGTCATCGCCGGGCGCGTACTCCCGGGCGCCGAGCCGCTGCAGGAAGTCTTGGTGGGAGATGAAGCCTTTGTTGTCGATGTCCAGCCTGAGATCAAGAACATAACAAAATTTATACATAATTATTTTGAGTCTCTCTCTCTTCCCCGTTCCCCCCTCCCCACTCTCTCTCTTACTCTTTCTCTCTCTCTCTCTCTCTCTCTCTCTCTCTCTCTCTCTCTCTCTCTCTCTATCTATCTCTCTCTCTCTCTCTCTCTCTCGAACAACCTAGTTCTATTCTTTCTTATTCTTTTTTTATCACAGAACACATTAAATAATATCTCTACCAGTGACTGTCACGTAGCAGTTGGGTGCGATTTTCTAAATACATGGAAGACATGAGTTCAATTCCTGTGTGGTGATGTTTGTTTTATGGAGTATCTCCTTCTGCCTGCCGGGACATTGTATTCCTCTCAACCTAGTATGGTTCAGACAAGAAGGCTGCAGTCCATATCCTAAATGATCTATATTGTGTCAATGGGAACTTTCAAATTTCTACAATTATAATTACAAAACCAGTATACAAATTTTTTAAGGAAATTCTTTCAAAAGCATTAAAAGTAATTAAGAAGTAAACCTCAACGTTAACTGAAATTAACATACTGCAATTTTCTTGATTTCTTTCGAGTGGAATTCATAAGGTGCTTTTATCAGCTTATGAAACAAAAAACATAAATATAACAGAGCATTGCAAAGTGAAAATGAAAACAAATATATATACACAAGCATGTGCATGTGCTCACACATGGACACACACACACACACACACACATATACACACACAAACCATGCTCACAAACATATAAACCATGTTCACACACACACATCCACAAACACACACCCACACACACACACACACACACACACACACACACATTTACACACACAAACCATGTTTACAAACACACATCCACACACACAAACACACACATACACACATAAACCATGTTCACAAACATACAAACCATGTTTACAAACACACACCCACACACAC